CGAGGGACCCGGGTACGTTTATTTACGAAAGTAAAAAACCGTCTGCTTCTTTTAATTTTTCTTCTCTTCTTCTTCCTCTTCTTATTTTTGTTATAATATTATTGTATTCTTTTTATTATTATTACTATTATTATTGTTATTATTATTATTATTATCATTATTTTGTAACTTCTTCACTCTTTACTACATTGAGATAAAGTGTGGTTAAATAGGCTAAGAAAAGTACAAATTTCGTTCGTCTTTAGCGCATTATAACTGTTCAGCGATACTAGTAGTGTACCGTGTTTTTACATGTTATTTTCCGAAAGAAGCAATGAAGACTGCAAACTATTCTATGGTCTAGTGTCTCTGTGATGCTCAAAATTCTGAAACAAAACGGTGTTATTTCTATAGAACTAGATAGACATGAGGAAACCTCTGAGTAGGGATACCACCTAATGTCAAAACTTTCACCTGATATCATTGTAATTGTGCGCTTTTCATATTCTTGGCTTTTATCTAGATTACAGCTGTACCGTCGGAAATTTAAATCATTCAAACAAAATTAATATTAAGGTAAGATTTTCAATCGATAGTCAATATATTTACTTGACTCTGATGATGACTTCCGCGCAGGTTGTCAAAACGTTGGTCACCACCACCAACAACTGTCTTTCTCAGGACTACAGTCACCCGGACGATCGCACTAGACTTTCACATGTCACCCTCGGGTTCAAACCATTTACTGTATTAGTTAGTTGTGTTTTACATGGTAGGTTTGTCAATTTGCAAGTTTGCTATCCTAATTTTTTGACTGTTTGAATGTTTGCTCATATTATGCGGCTGTCCTCTCCTACTTTTTTTGTCTTAAATGCGACAGTGGCGAGAACCCAAGATATGTAAGTTAACCAGAAAAATCGTGTATCAAACGGGTAATTTTGTACTGGTCACTATCCGAAAAGGTTAATTTTATACAGAATTAGTTACTATCCAAAACTCACTTAATCCTGCTTCTTTTCCTCAAGGATGCAAAAAAACAGTTTGGAGCTTCAATCCGAAGTACATGGTGCAGCAGCCCAGGAACGGTCGAAACTTCATCAATGGATCAAAAATTGCAGGATATATTTTTTGCTGCGTTTATCCTTGAAGAGTCTTTGTTAAGCTTTGGCAGTAATCAGCTGAACGGGACAAATCCCGAATTCCTCGATTTCGATGAAGATCTGAGTAAGTGCAAAATAGTAATGCTTCGTCTTTTTGGAAAAAGAGCTTTATTATGTATAAGTTCCTGCAAGCATTACGTGTACACTGATTTAGGGCAATCATCACTATTCTTTTTACATCAGCTAAAAATAATCTAACCTTCTTTAGCAAGATCGGATGCATTGACTGTTACTTGCAATTGTAGAATTCGAGAAATGATCGGCTGGGAAAGTCATAAACTGCGGAGGTACGATTGGATAAAATCTAATGATGCAGGTCACAGCGTATTCTGGGCACATACATGCAATTGTACTGTTTAGACGGGGGAAAATGTACGTGGACAATGCACCCCTTCTTTTTTATCAATCTAGATTTCCAAATCAGACACAATGCTCTCCAGAAAGGAAATGACTTTCTGTTTAATGGAAGCAATGGGGAGAACTTTATCAAGATTCCCCAAGCTAATCTGGATCAACGTAAGTACCTGTCTTAGTTTTGAATATTTGCTTTCAAGACGATTGCCCTCTATTTCCTGGCCAGCACGTCCGCGGATCTGGTTTCCACATTTGCAATATGCGCGTGGTTTGCACTCATTACAGTAAGTTTTGCTTATTCTTTTCCCTCCCTCTCAGTCTGTATCGGTTTCCGTTTTGGAATTTCTCGACTCTCTCTTTATTGTGGGGCGCCTCAGTATGAAGAAACTTTAAGCTTTTTCAAAAAGTGTTGAATATTGTACTTATTCATGATCGACCTGCCTGTAATGACACTAATACTCTGAGCATTTATAAGTGATAAACATATTTTCCAAAAAGTTTTGGAAGCCAAAACTAATGCAGTTCTCATTTCCTTGTTAAACAGACTCGGTAGTACTTGGACTCGCATACAACGATCTATCCGACCTTTTATCAAACTATTCAGCAGACACTGATGAGGAAGGCAACAAAACAAGGTACGTACATTTTATTTAATAACTGAGGATGGACTAGAAAAAAAACATTTTTTGTTTTTGTAATAAGTCCATCTGTTTTGTTCCAGGATACTTGACAGTATAATTATGTCCGCCGTGATAGACCCTCAGCCTGAATTTCTGACAGAGAATGTCACGTTGGTCTTTAAGAACAAGAAGGTATTTACGCCGCCCTTTCCTTATTTATCTACTTCTTTTTTTTAATTGAGAAGGTATTTGCTTGTTTGTTTTCCTTATGAAACGGTAACAACAACAGTTCATCCTTCATGTAAGTGAAGCATTATGTCACCTTTTACCTCAAACTGAGATTTGATGACCAGACCATGATTTTATGACTGCCTACGACTTGAAATTGAAATCAGCAGTGCATCTCATTAGGCACCGCGCCACTTTTCAAATTGCGTCATCTGGAAGCCATCACAAAGGGGAGACCGACCTGGAGGGTTATATTAATATCGTATAACTATGACACCTTACTAGCTTACTAAGCTGTTTCTAGTAGGGTGTCACCAAGGCGAGCACTGAAGCCCCGCCATTTTACTCCTTAAATCAAACGGTTGTTGCTGTTTTTGTTTTTGTTTTTTACCGTTAGGCGGATCGTAAAAATAGAACATGTGTATTCTGGAGCTTCTCTAAAGACAGGTAAGCACCACATTACAAAATTGTTATTCACAATAATTATTACGTTTATAGGAACCAAAACTGTCTGAATGGAAGCTAAAAGTATCAGAAAGCATGTTTGAGCATTTTCAGGCACAAGGGGAAGAGGGCTTGCAATAGAATAAGTAATTTTGAACTGTTTCTCCTCGTCCTTCCTTTTTCGCAGGTTTGGGGGTTGGTCAAGTGAAGGATGTCAGACAAATATGATATTTGATAACCAAACAGAATGCGTTTGTAATCACATGACCCACTTTGCTGTGCTCATGGATTTTGCCGACAATAGTGCCGACGGAAAGGTGAAATTTTTTTTTAATTAAATCATATATATCCAAAAAGGCACATAAGGTCATAACAGGTATTGAATTTATATATCTTTATCATGACCGACAGCATTTCCCTTGATTCAAATATGTTTATTCTGACGTTTTCAATCAGGATAAAACTCGTTCGTCAGATGAACATGGTAAAATACTGACAATCCTCACTCAAGTAGGGATGGCTTTATCTCTCACTGGAGTCGTACTCACAGTTATCGGCTATACTCAGCTCACGTAAGCATATTCAATAAACACTGATATCTATCTGAATTCTGTAAGGTTATCTCTGTTTAATCAGTTATCAGATTAGTTCTAGGGCTCGGAATGGACTTCTTGCATCGGGAAAAGAAATTGGAATTTCTGAGATGAACTTTCTTGGAAAAAAGTTCGCAAAGGAGTTAAAATAGCTTTAAACAAAATGTTGGTAAAAGATAAAAACGTCGTAAATATTCTTGTGTACATTCGTTATTCTCTATCTAATTCATGTAAAAATATATTGTCTCAGCTTATTTTCCCCTTTATTTGCTTAGCTATTTACCATCGTATTTCTGATGGTTTCCTTTGCAGTTCATTGACTTCAGTTTAGCATTCATTTTGCTAGTAATTAAATTTCATTTAGTTACTATTTATTAGATTGTCTGTTTTTATCCTTTTGTACCCTGCAGAGACAGACATTCACCTTTGTGTCATATACGGGTTAGTCTGACGTCCTGTATTGGAGCAGGACATGTCATCTTTTTCGCTGGAATAGATGCCACGGAAAATAAGGTGACTTGTTGAAATCTTACTTTCCTAGTGCTAATTAAATTGTTGTTGTTGATGTTGTTTTTGTTGTTTTTTTTAGCTTGTTTGCTTGTTTCTTTATTTGGTTCGGCTTATTATTTTGACTGATTGATTTGAAGACTGATTGATCAAGTGATTCTCTCTTCTTGTTCGTTCGTTTGAATGATTTCTATTTTGTAGTTTTCACTCAGCTCTGTTTTGTTTCGCTTCTGTTTTGTCTTCGGGTCATTGTCTCGACAAACGGCAAATCAATTGTTACATTTTTACGGATTACCTATTCCTTGCAGGCTGTTTGTGTAGCTGTGGCAGCTCTTCTGCAGTATTTCCTAATGGCTTCATTTTCCTGGATGCTTATCGAGGGCATTTATATCTACTTATTTGTTGTAAAGGTGTACAACATCGCCGATAAAATCTTTCGTTATCATGGCTTTTGCTGGGGTAAGGTGCAGTACCACTCATAAATGGAATTGAGCCTACATATAGTGCTTAACAGGATATCTTGATTTTGATTGGCTGTAAACCAATGCAGAAATAGCTTTTAGAGTGGAAATAGAGGTTAGAGAGTGCAAAAGATAGTTGCCATTAAAACATTGGGAGAACTCTTAATTTGAACAAACTTCCTTGTAATGACGATATTTGTTACGTCATCAAATGAACATCTGCACCTTTTGAAAATCATTGGATGGTCTTGATGGGAAATGAAAGAAGGCGTACAATATTTCCAGAGCTGGCTAGACCTGGGTTTTTGCAGAATGTCACCGGAGTTGATCTTATTGGCCAAAACACGCAGCTATTATGTAATTGGATACGTTTTAGTAATGTTATACCCACAAACAAAATGTTTTAAGGGTGAACAATATAAANTCTCAGAATTAAATGTTTGGATCTTGTTGATAAGATCAGTGGTATCTTTAACAAACGAGGGTAGATTTTGGGCGAGAGGCTTAAAATAAAATTCATTAAAAGCAGAAAGTCCTTCGATTGCCAAAAGGTCATCGAGGTTATTTGACAGACGAATTCGACTTGCTGTATTCCATCACAGCAGAGATCCAGACGAAAACAATCACCCAGCTGATGAACGTTTTCCAACAATTCCATCCACAAGTGATTCGATGCCTCCAAAGTCGAATTTCCCTGAGGTTGAACTTTTCTTAAACAACGTTAAGAAGGACATTCTCGAATCTAAGAACTTGAGAAAAGCCGAGGACAACCTGACGAGGGAGGAGAGATTAGCCCTAGGTAACTTAAAGTTAGTGACAATGTATTTAGAATTCAAGATAAGGGATCTAGATTTGTTATTATTTCCTAAAATGAGTACCAAGATAAGATGTTAAGGCAGCATAACAATGATCTCCATTATAATAAGCTCAAACAGGACCCCACCATTGAGCATTTTGATAAAGTCAGAATTTGGGGACAGAAATGGTTTAGTGAAGAACAGATTAGTCAGGAGATTGCCATTTGGGTTGCCAATTTGGAACCAAAACCGGGGGTGGCTTTTGGCAATATGAAGACTCACAAAGAGGGCAACCTTCTCCGCTTAATTACATCTTGCTGCAGAACGGCAATCGAAAGACTTTCTGCTTTTACTGAATTTTATCTTTAGCCTCTCGCCCAAAATCTATCCTCGTTTGTTAAAGATACCACTGATCTTATGGACAAGATCCAAACATTTAATTCTGAGACAGGTCCTTTAACACCTAGGTGTCTGTTGGTCTCCTGGGATGTCATGGCGATGCCCCTGCTTTTTACACTCGTAATAATACACGTTATAATCATTTAGATTTGTAAATACGGGACAGTTCGCTTCGGCACATCGCAAATACACGCCTGAAGATGTAGGATCTTTAGATTTTAACTCTTCCATCGGAGTATTGTGAATGGGAAGGGATACGCGACGTTTGCATCGTTGAGAACATTACGCAAAATCGTATCCAACATGAAATTACCTTCACTGCTGTCCATAATTTCATCGGGTTCTGGGATTTCCACAGTTTCAATCTCCACCACTTCTGTGTCTTCTAGGCTCTTATTAGTAGGTTGAGCAGGTGAATCCCTCATTGGGATATCAAGAACTATCTTTGGCGCTATCAGTTTGGGCGGTTCTTTCACAGGTAATTCTGGCAGGAAAATGGATTTCTTCAGTTTATCCATGGCTGCTTTCTTGGTCTCTTTTATCTTATAAGGGTACGCTCGATCTTTCTACATTTTCTTGGGTGACTTTCCACCGTGATTCATCCACACCGAACTGTTTTCACTGCTGCTGCTTTTAGGTCTCTCCATCTTGTCTGACTGCTACACTCGAAATGCACACACTCGCACATCTCACCGCTTTTATATCTACTCGAGTCACGTCCCACCAATCATATCTTTTCTCTAGAGACTACCACACCTTACAAATTTCATTTTTTAACACTGATATCATCTAAAGTGACAACCACACTTTTATTCTTTCCATTTTTTAACACTTGGATCATTTTTTACTTACAATTCTCATCACGTTTTTTCTTAAACTTTCTCGGCTAAAGTCATACATATTAAATGTTCTGGAGAAGGTTCTAACGGAAGCAATGTCCTGGGTGTCTTGGGTACAGCGTCTTGTCTCATCTCTTCTCTTACTCGTCTTAGTTCTGCTTCATGGTGTTCTTGTTCTTCGCGTCCACATCTTTCACGCAAGCCAAAACTGCTTTCATCACTTCCAAGTACCTTTTATCCAATTCATCTTTCATGTGCTCTTCCTTAATTTCAATATAGTCTTCGACATTGCTTGAAACTCTTGATAGATCCTTTAAATCCGGTGTGTCGCTTATGATTTCTAAAATCCCGTCCAACATTACACCTGCAAATTTGGGATTGTACTCCACATAATTGTTCATCGTGACTGCTGATAAAAAATCACTGTCATTCACTCTCTGCCTCGTGGTAATCGTGCGTCATGAAAAAGCTCGTCCCCGTCCTCCTCGTCCGATTCATCCGAAGAAGAAGAAGAATAGACTGGAGAATCGTAACTTCTAGCTGGCGGTTGGTTTTTACAATGTCGAACGTATTGTAAAAAGGCTTGTAGGACAAAATTGTACGCAGACCTGAATTTTTTTTTCCTCCGGTAAATCAAAGGGTGAAGGCTTGAAAATGGAATTTGTGATTCTTGCATCTAACTTCCGCAAGTCGTTATCGGAAGCATGATCAGCCACGATAATTAACAAATCTTCTAACATTCCCAGCGCTTTAATGGCTGCCCATTCTAATTCTCTCGTGGTCGGTGTTGGTTTTCTCGTTTCTCTTAACTGCTCCAAATATTTTTTGAACGCCAGTACCACTTCTCTTTGAGCTTGAGTAAATTCTGGTGATGGGGGTTCACGCATCACTATCATTTTTTCGATCGATTCTAAATTAGACTCCAACTCTCTTGCACTTGCTACAACGCGGAGATCATACATCATACCAACCAAGTCCTGAGACACAGTCCATGGTCGTACTCGCCCAGCTCTCGTCTTATTTGCCATCGTGTTCACGCTATCAACTCTTTCACACAACTAATTTACTCTAGCAAAACATCTTACCTACAAGGCGTATAACTACCTATAAATACATTTATTTCTCATAGTTTATTCGGGGAGATCTAGCATGGCTAATCGAACCCGCGAAAGCCCTAACGCGTAATCTCGGGCCCAATTTTTTTTTTCTCCCACCAAATAACCCTGGTTCGAATCCTGGACGCACCATTTTTTTCTTTTTTCCACATATAAATAATCGAAATTTTTCACTTAAGTATCGGAAAGGGGTCACTGGCGAACTATATCAGTGATTCCTTTCCAACCCTTTTTTTTTTTTTTTTT